TTCAACATAATTACGAAGGTTGAACATTTCTGGTGGATGTTCGTAGATCTGCTGTAACCGCTGTCTAACATGGCGGCGCCCTCAACAAACACGCAGACGATGTCTCAAGAAGGTGACGAAAGCCAAGAGCCTCAAACATTTAAGGACTTAGTAAGTTTTAAATATATTTCCTTTTGGCCAAGATATATCCAACGCATTTTATTCCTTTTGTGGCATATTGTACATCGATTTAAAATTAGCCACTTGAGGAAACGAAACTATTCTTTTTGTTGGAAAAATGTGTCTATTTGAGTATGAATGTGTTCAATTAGTGATGTCATTTAGCTCCGTATATAAAGCAGATAGTGGTCCGCGTGTGTTAACGATGAGCTTGTCCTCCCTGGCTTGCTTATGTTAAATGTGGATATTGTGCAAGCTCGTGTTAAAGTGCTGAACATGTTGGGGACTTGCTGGAATGGTAAGGCTGTCAGATTGATTTAGAGTAATTATATGATAAAGTATGTGGCTGGTAGACATGGTATGGGTCAAGTTTCAGCCAGGCGCCATTTACAGCACCTAGAAACAACATAGCAAAGAATATATAGGAAAATTAATGTCTGTATCTACCCATAACCAGGATGGAAAGTTTGTTCTGCGCACTGAATATGTCTGGAGGGCACTCGAAATGTCTGGTGCGCTTATGAAAGGAAAGTGGTGCGGTGTGTGCTTTTAAGGGAAAAATTTCTTCAAGAAAGGGTGGTTGGTAAAGCTTTATTCTTCCATGTAACTTAATGCTGCGTTTGGAACTGTTCGTCCTGCTCTTCCAGACCAGATGGAGGAGATGTTTTGACCATTTGGAACCTCTACTATCTCGTCCTGGACAAGTTGTCCATCTTGTTCATCTGGTCCTCCTGCGAAGGTGGGCAAGCAGGATGAGATGACATCACAATAGCTTTTGCATGTAAACATTGACAGTTGTAGGTAACCACAAGATATTGATGGGTAATTTTATGGCCCTTTATTGGTGTTATCAAAGGATATTTTTGTGTTTGTCTGTTGTAGGTAAGTTAAATATGCATCAAAGGAGTTACAAAACCTATGCAGCATGTAAAATAAAGACACCCGTATGAATGTTTATATTCGAGCCGGTTCCATTCTGGGCAGAAAGGGTCTTGGAGGTTTCGAACGCGGCCCACTTGTCCTGCTGGTCCTGGACAAGTTGTCTGGATGAGCAAGACAAGGAGTTCCGAACTCAGCATAAGTAGTCTCTTTGTTACCAGCAACACTCATGGAATTAAATTTCATGGTTTTGTATTGTATGAATCGTCACAATTAATTGTTTTCAAGTTGAAGTTTGTAAAAAATAATGGTTATTTGGAAATTAGATTCAAAATGTAACTTGCTGTAATAATTCAACAAAAATATGTCAGAAAATACACAGGATCCTTTAATAAATGGTTGCTGATAAATAAAAGGATCTTGGGATAAGGATAACAAAAAGTTCAAGGCTTATAGTTGAAGTAGAATGTCAAGAATGGGGACTTTCATTCTGTATCTTCTCATATGCAAAAGGTGAAAGCTTGACTGCATTTAAGGGGGCACACACAGTGTTATTATCAAGACATAGGTGCATGGACCTTAGGGTGCAAAGGTTCAGTCTCTGTTTTGGCACCCATGAAAACAATAAAATTGATGCGCAGTATTTTATCAGTCAGTTTGAATTTAGTGCGGCATCAGCAAACTTTCCAACTTGGCTCAATAGTAGCAGGTATAGTTCCAGTTTCACGTAGGGTAAATTTGGAACTGACTACTGGTTAATTGTTACCTTATGGCCACACTAAGCTTTGGGAAATTAAAGATGATAATCCTGTTGTGGAAAGATGTCATCAGTACAAGAAATAATCTGCAGACACTAATGGTGATGCCACAAAAGGAAATAAGATCACAGAGGGCAACACTCACAGCCTAAGTACACTCAGTGCCCAATTTTCAAAATAATGTTTGATGGGGGATTTTGTAGGGCTGATCCCCCATCAACTCTCTGCTGAGGCAGTATACACCCACACATGGTAAGTTAAACTGCTAAATAAATTTTGTGAAAGAAATGGAGACATTAGTTTTTAGCCAGTGCATCCAAATTGTGAAGAATTTCCATGATGCCTAATGCCCATTTTTTGATAAAGACTTATTCTGATTGCTCTCACCGTGTTTTGATGCACTCATTCCTGATGCAAACAAAGCTCAGCTATGATAACATCCTCAAGAGCTGGCAAGGGCTTGAGAAGTATCAGAGAAATTGCAGGGTAAAAGCAGAAATGACCAAAGTGTGATCTACATTTATAACAATTAAGGGGTAATTCCCTTTCAGAGGCTGCTGCTGTCCCCCTACCCCCTACCTGATTTGCAAAATCTTCACCTTATATATTCTGGTAGGAGATAACCCAGACAACTATGCTTTGGTAACACATATAGATGGTGTATAGAGATGCAGAAAGGGTATGGATGCTATTGTAGCCACTAGACTTGCTAATTCTTTACAGTCTCGGATACATTCACCAACTCCATGTCACAAAATTTATTCAACAGTCTAAGTTGCCATGACTGGCCACTGCCTGAGGGGAGGGCTGATGGGGTTTCTACCCTTAAGACCCCTCAGGAAATACTGTCCTCACCTTGTTATGCATGGCACGATAGAGCAGAAGCTTGGGAGCACCAAATGGACTTAGACTACATGGCACTTTCTGCAATCACTTTCTTTTATTTGTGGCATTGATATTCATGTATGCAGATTATTTCTTGTACTGACAATAACTTTTAATCATCTACAAGAATACCATCTTCAATTTGCCCTAGTTCAGTGCATCCATACCATAAAGATTAACCCTAGACTGTAAGTTTTAATTAATCTTGCAGGCTATCCATTACAGATCAGTGCATATTTAGATTTGATTTTTAGGAAACACAGCAATATAATTTTTATCATTTGAATACATCATTTGTGGTAACTTACCATAATCAAAATATTGGTGGCATTTCCCATAGTCTTGGGATTGCCTCTTCAGTCATTCCTTTCAATGTCCTGGCAAAGGCCTTCAAAATCATACCACATACATACAGATAAGATAGGTCTTACTGTGCCAGTTTTAGAGCTTTGTTGATCTTTGATGGAGTGTTGAAAGGCTTAGAGGAAATGTGGATTGTTGTTCACTTCAACAGCTTCAACTATTCAATATTGGTATCTGAAACTGTAACTTGTTTCTTTAAAATATCTGTATTATGGTTGCATATAGACGTAGGTCTGCTAATATAATGTTACAGTAATTTTAACCAGCTGTATAAATATCAGGAAAGAATCTTTTGTCTATGACTATTTTTGTCCTCTGCAGTGGTTAACATTTAGACATCTATATAGTATGATAACAGCATGGTGGGAAGATGCTGATTAACTTGTAGCCTTGACCTACAGGTCCTAGGAATAGTTAAGGTCCTAAGCACTGGCATCACCAAAGAGGCTTTAATTCCCAAATGCTTTGTCAGTACTGTGATGCCTTAACCCACTGAACCATAAATTCTTTCTTTCCCATATTTCACTTAGGATGTTTGTCTTTCCTTTACTGGAAGCTTCTAGAATAATTGTGATATTGATTATTAAGAAAATGTGGAAGGAAGGGAGTAGTAATAATGAACAGCAGTTTCCCTTTCTTTCTGATCTGTCTGAAATAAGTTGTAAACAAAGTATTGACATTTACTTTTTAGTAGATTGCGTACCACAGGAAAGACAACTATCACTGCCTGTCAAAGACCTCTTAGGGAGTCGGGGAAAATTGATTAAACTATCATAAAAATGATTGTCTTGCATATTTTCTTCATATTTTAATGTTGTGAGTGTTATTAGTCTCTTAGGGAGCAGAAAATTTTGGTTGAATTGACATAAAATGTATTGCCTCACAGAGTTTCTTCATTTCTTGAATATTGTCTGTGTTTTCATAATGATTTTTTTTTGAGAGGGGGGGAGGGGGTGTTAAGCCCAAATAGATTTTTTGCATACAGAAGGAAAGTGTATGAAAAATTATATTTTTGGAATGGCACCATCTATAGGGGAATCTCCCATAATCTTGCATCAGATGTGGTATCACAGTGTGTATTAAAAGATGGAAAATGATATATCAGCAATGATATAGACTGTCTTGTTTCATATGAGCCATGTTTTTTAGTCTGGATTGCAGTTAATCATACACTAGTTGATATAGGCATGGAGCCAGTGGATATTGCAACTAATTCTTGCGATGGCCATGTTCACCCATGGATCATTTTTCTTTGATCTTATAATTTCTAATGCGTCTTTGCTTTGCAGGGGATCATAGAGGAGTTGTGTGTTGCATGTGAGCATTTAGGATGGAAAAGTCCCACAACAATTCAGAAAGAAGCCATTCCTGTAGCATTACAAGGTAAGAATAATGAAATTCATTACACTAATTACTGTCAATCCTTTTAGTTGGGATTGGAGCTGTATCTTTATTTCTTAATATGTTGATACACTTCTTTAGCAAAATATGAAAGTATTATTGCAACCATTGTATCTCTTCTGTTTTTTCTCTTTTTCATCTTTGATTTGCATTTGCCATTGCATCTTTATTATAATTGAAAAGTTCAAATACCATGGTATCATAAGAGCAGGTATTAGTTACGCCTTTTGTGCTGTTACAGTTTAGAAAGTGTATAATATTAACTGATAAAGTTGTTCTGTTACTGTTGATATATGCAGTTGATACAGGTTATTCCAGGTAGCCTGATGAAAATATTGCAGATATCAAGCTATTTATTTTAAAGAATGACTTTCGTGTTTGCCAGCATTTGAAATGAGAGAGGAATTTTTAAGCAATCCATATTTACCAAATTATTAGCTATACTGTAGATATTCCTGGGAATCTATGTGTATATGTAATGATAAAGATCTGTACTCTATGGACTTTTCAAAACAACATTAATAGGTGTCAGAGTATTGTTCTATGATTGGTTCGGTAAAGGAAGGCTGGAAGTAGGATACATCAATGTGATACTGCTCTTGATCTTCCTTCTTCTGCCTCTTGGTGTTCATATCAGGTAGAATAGACATATAAACATATTTTGTAAAGTGACTTTGTAGAGGAAAGTATGTGCTAGTTTAGTAAAGTATGGTGTTAATATGGTAGAAAGTTTCAAACATTAAAGAAATGAAAGAAAAGAGTAAAAAAAGGTCAAAGAGGAGAAAGTGAAAGTTGACAACCTAATCAACCAGCCACTCATTCATCCCCGCAAACCTGGAACTAGACTGTTATCTGTGGCAGTGCCATGGTTATTCTTAAGAGCTTAAATTTTGCCCTCACAACTAAAGCAATTAAGACTTGGGGTGGAATTCATGAAGGGTCATATACTCTGAAATTTGTCTGACTCAGTGATTTTGTTTCCTTGTGAAAATGTCCTTCACACCAGATTTTTGTCTATCTTTAAATTGCCCTTGTGAGACACTGACAACAGCACTGCAATTTTACAGTTGTTGAAGATTACTCCATATCAGAAATTATATGGAAAACTTTCCTGCCAGTTTTTTACTTATTGTTAAAGGTAAATTTGGAAGTTTCCTCCTTGTTTACTGCAGTTTTCTCGTATATAAATACAAATTGTGCAGTAGTGCTTCTCAGCTGATGCAGTCTTAACAGGAGATATGTAATATTTTAGGCAGGATTCACTGCAGTAGTAATATGATTTCATTATTACATAGGGTTATGTTAGGATCTTCTAAAATGTAAATTTAAGTTCTAGTAAAGCGTTAACTTTGAAATGTGGCACAGTTGCAAGTCATAGACAAGATTGATGAGGACAATTCTTAGACCGAGTCATAGACAACTTTTTGGAGTTGGACTGTTTTTGGGACAGTCCTTAAATTATTCTAAGAAAATTCTATGACCTTTTGTGAATACTGTCCTTGACTTTCTGGTTTCACTATCACAAATGTTAGTCTGATATTTCAAGAGCTTGATTTTATACACCAAATGATATACATTTTAATCTTGTCTGTATAATGCATCCTGTAAAGGACTTACAAGATTGCATGCTCAGTGCATGGAAGTTTAAAATGATTATCTCAAGAAAGTGGAATGAGAAGATTTTGCTTGTAAATAAGGAACTTGTAAAGCAAATGGAATTACTTGAATAAATGATAAATATCACATTAAGAAAAACAAGTTACAAGGAGGCCCTCTTCTCTCTCTCATACACATATATGAATTTGTAATTAATGATACTTTCTGATGGTTTTATTTCTGTGGTTAAGGAGAAAGGCCCCTGAATGTAAATGGAAGCTAAATTGTATAGGTAATATCAGTTATTTACATTGATTTATTTATACCTATAGTTTTAATGTAGACTAATAGCCATTATACATTTTGTTTTCTGTTTACACAAGACTGTTCATACAATACTTTTTTTGCAGGACGAGATGTCATAGGTCTTGCAGAGACTGGTTCAGGGAAAACAGGAGCATTTGGACTTCCTGTGCTCCAGTCATTGATATCACAACCACAACGGCTTTTCTGCCTGGTCTTAACTCCTACCAGAGAATTAGCATTCCAGATTAAAGAACAATTTGATGCCCTTGGTAACTATATATTTCTATTCTGTAATATACTTTTACTAGAAAATAGATTGAACTGATGAAATGGTGTGTCACTGTATTGAGAGTATATAAAGAAAAATGGAAATATTGCTTAGGGATAGTAAAAAAAGATGTTCAAAATTTTGTAACCCAAATGCCTGTAAACCTAAAGAATTTAAAAGCTATTCCTTAATATGTTACAGTTTAATATCAAATAGTATGGCCGGAATGAAAAAAGGGGAAAGATTCAAATTCCTGAGACTCTTACCATTATGCTGGAACGTCAACAAATTTCTTTGTCTTGTTTTGTTCCTTTATCAAGAATCAGGAAAACAAAAATTTCAGTACATTGCTAAGGTCTTCTGAATAGAATACTTTAAGGAATTTTTAATGTGCTTGATCTTTCTCTTGCATAAAATGGAAATAAAAAACATTTTGAGATAGTGCATTCCACTTAATTTATTTATATCCATATTTCTAAAGGAAAAGCCATGGGTGTGACATGTGTTGTGATAGTGGGAGGTATGGACATGACACAACAAGCACTGGAGCTCGGTAAGCGACCACATATCATTGTGGCCACCCCTGGCCGTCTTGTGGACCATTTAGAGAAGACAAAGGGTTTTAACCTGAAGGCACTTAAGTATCTGGTAAGACATTGTACCATTATGTATTTCTTTGTGGAGTGTGCTTCACTGTTATTCAGAATAAAAGTTGAAATTAAGGAAATTAAAGCTCTGCCCATCATTAGAGAACAGTGAAGATGGACATGATGAAAATGATGGGGATAATGTTATTTTGTCTGGGAAAGAAGATACTTACTGATTTCCTACTTTACAGGTGATGGACGAGGCTGATCGCATCCTCAACATGGACTTTGAGGAGGAAGTTGATAAAATCATGAAACAGTTGTCACGAGAAAGGAGGACAATGCTGTTTTCAGCAACCATGACAAGTAAAGTAAGTTGATAGATAATATAGTGTTTTTTGAGTTAACTTTTAAGATTTTTCAGATAAGTACATTCTGTTTTGTAGATGGTAAAATAATTTTGTAAATTGCTTTTGATTAGGCCAAGTAAATATTTAAGAAGTCTGCATTAAATAATGAAGAAGGATTTGATTATAATGTTGGTATTATACACTTAAAATGTTACTGTAATCATAAAACAAAACAGAAGACAACACTGGTTTCAGAAGGTTTAGACTTTTACCCACAAACACTTTTTGCACCATGAATTAATTCAGTCCTAAAATATATGAATTTCTTACAGGTTAATAAGCTACAACGAGCTCATTTAAAGGATCCTATAAAAGTAGAAGTTTCATCAAAATATCAGACAGTCAGTAAATTACAACAGTCAATGATATTCATCCCCTGCAAGCATAAGGTAAGTTTATGACTGAATTTATAATTTTTAATTGCTTGATATCAAAAAGTATGTTTTCTTCTTAGGAAGAGTAGATGTTAAAATGTATGTGGTTCACAAAGAAAGTAAATATTAGAGAAAAATGAGCTTTGTAATTATTTTGAATAGGCAAGATACTCAGTCACTGGTTATTTCTCTTTTTTCAGCATATGTACCTCGCTTATATTTTAAATGAAATTGGCAACCAGTCTGTCATCATATTCTGTGCCACTCAACTCTCTACACTGAAAACAGCACTCATACTCCGCAACCTTGGCTTCACAGCCATTCCCTTACATGGCAAAATGTCTCAGAACAAACGTCTGGGTGCCTTGAATAAGTTCAAAGCCAAGGAACGGTCTATTCTTTTAGCTACAGATGTGGCATCAAGGTAAGGGATTAGTTTGTGATTTTGTAATAAATACGGGTTGTATTTGTGAATGATAATACTGTTTGTAAATCATTACACTAAATTCTAGAATTATATAGAAATAATATATACAAATTTATGATATGCTTAAAGATTACTAATATTTCATATACTCTGCAGAGGACTTGACATCCCAAGTGTTGATTATGTGATCAACTTTGATGTGCCAATGCACAGCAAAGATTACATTCATCGTGTTGGCAGAACAGCAAGAGCTGGAAAGTCTGGCATTGCCATAACATTCGTGTCTCAGGTATGTAGTTAACTTTTTTTAAAGTCAGGTTTTACTGCACACAAATAAATTTAGTGGCTCTTGGGCATGAAAAATTGTTCAATTTAGGTAGAGGGTTGGATTTTTTTATTACCAAAAATGTACATATTTTCTTCATCAGAATTTAAAAGCCTTTTGTCACTTTCCACTTTCCAGTATGAAGTGGAGGTTTACCAAAGAATTGAGAAGTTGCTAGGATACAAGTTGGATGTCTACCCCACAGTCAAAGAGGAGGCTCTTGTATTGGAAGAGAGGATTGCAGAAGCTGAAAGATTTGCAAAGCTTGTGAGTATCCTGCATATATCTTGGGTGTCCTTTCAAGGTACTTCAGTTTGATTATGTTTAAGGTGTATAGAAAATTAGCAGCACTTAATACAATTCACTGATGTTCATATGAATATATAATCAACTTACTTCAATAGCCTCTTATTTTTAATTTCAGGAAATGGCTAGGCTTAATGAAAAGACAGGCAAGAAGGGAAAGAAGCGGGATCATGGAGATGATACTGAGGAGAGTCTTGGTGTCAGAAATCGTATCAACAAAAAGAAAAAGTTCAAGAAATAGGCAGTTGGTGAATGTTTGAAATTATTGCATTGTTATGATTGAAGATTATTTGGATATGAAAGTTGCTAATATTTTTATATGTATGAACTAAAACTGACGGTTTGCTTAAAAATACTGAAGATCCAATTTGTTTTTCTTTCTTTCTTTCCAAGTCTTAATCATCTTTTTTTCTGTATACCATACTTCAACCATAGATACCAAGCTCGTCATCAACCATGTCTCTTGGATCTTTGTCACTAAAAGTCAAAAGATACTACATTTTTACAAGAATTGGCTTTTAAAGCCAGATAGAAAAATTGCTACATCTATGCATTCAAAACAACTAGGCATGTGTATTTTCATTTACAAATTTGTTATTTTGCTGATAATCCAAACTGGTAAGCAGCATTAATTTTGGACCTATCAGTTCTTGCACTGAACTGTCTTGAAGCTTTAATTATCTTTGGTTCAACTTGGCCTTCAGATATCTTGTCAAAGCCGGAAATATCATAAAATGAATATCAGTTTAAATGCATTAGGTAGTACTCAGCTTAAAATCAGTGTTCTCTGTATACAAAGAAAAAATAATATAGTTAATGCACATTTATACTAATCAATATTAAGAATAAGACAAACATTGGTCTGTCTTTTACTTTTTGATAAAGTATTTTCCAAACTCATAAAATATGCTGCCAATCATGCTTGGCAATCATAAATATACAAGGCAGATATTATA